CGACGATGACGCCGGCCGCCGTCCCGTCCACTCCCAACGGCAGCAAGCATGTGCCAGTTTCCCCAACGCAGCAACCGTAGCCGGCAGGGAGCTGACCCCCGGCCGTCGCTCTCCACATCGGTGACTGAATCGGCGGTCAGGCAGCAGCAGTCCGCCGCCCCGTCCACCCCAACGGCATCAGGAAGAAGTCATAGTCCAAGATCTTGGCCAATAGGTACTCCTGCGCCACGCCACTGCTTAGATTTTCGGTCTCTGATTTAGTTTGTTGTTACACTAATGAAATAAGTGAAGCTCGAATTGATGTGGATGTTTGATCCATTGGTGACATTTTTATCTGATTTGCAGATGAGATAAGTGAAATAAGTGAATGTGGATCACATTCACCTTGTGCTGGGAAGGGAAAGCTCCGTCAGATATCACTTGAAGTGCAAAGAGGAGATTCACTAACTGTCAGATACGGACGGACTACAATTCAGAGAAAATATGGGAATGGAGACCGAATAATCAAGGTAATCAACGCTATTTGCAACTTTTGGAGATAATATGGACGGGAACTATCGGAACACTGTGTTGACAGAGTATGGTAGTCCCTGTTTTGATTTATGGCATAGGTTCATTCTCAGATGAGACGAATGGCTTCGGGGGCATCTGCAGATTCTGCAACCTCCATGTTGTCATATGTGGCCAGTTTCTTGGGTTCCACTGGTATGGTAGTCTCTTTCTCTTCTTGGGTTGTTTCAACTCAAATCCATGACCAATAGGCACTACTTCACCAAACCACTGCTTAGATTTTCGATTCCACCCACAGTTTCATATTTTGCTTGTTATAAGTTGAAATAAGCGAAGCTTGAACTGATGTGGATGTATGATGCATCGATGGAATTTTATCGAATTACGGACGAGCTCATGGATGGATCACATCACATCCACTTTGTGCCGAAAAGGCGCGAAGGAAAGCTCCGCCAGGCACATCACCTCCACTGCAGCGGGAGAAATATGGGAATGGAGATTAACAGGCGTAACAGCCAACTAAGGTAATCAACAAATTATCGTATTGTACACAACTCTGTTGCAAGTTTTTGGACATAAATATGGAAGCTTCTGTTGAAAGTCAAGACAAATGGCAAATCTTGTATCTTACAAACAACTAGTAGCACTATTACATGGTAGTGGCCAGTGATTATTCATACATTTTCAGACCTAATGGACTGAAAGCATCAAAACACAGTGGGTGCTATTGCAATGCACGCGTAGACAAAGTACAATACAACATTGAATGTTGTCCCTCTTTTGATTTATGGCATGAGTTCGTTTTCAGATGAGACGAAAGGCTTTGGGGGCATTTGCAGACTCTGCAACCTCCCTGTTAACATGTTCACGACCTTTGTCATCGACGGCCGGTTTCTTGGGTTCCACTGGATACACCACAGTGCCACAATTGCCAGCTTCCTCATCTTTTCTTTCTCTTCTTGAGTTGCTTCCAAGGTAAGAGCCAACTCCTCCCCATTGATTACTTTCTCGTAGATCCACTCTGGGAGGTAAACATCGTTCTGGCTCTCAGTACTTGGGTCTGAGTTTCTCCTTCCGCTCACCATTTCTAGCACTAGCATTCCGAAACTGTACACGTCTGACTTGTACGATACTCCCCCAAAGTTCCGAGAGTATAGCTCTGGTGCAATGTACCCCATTGTGCCTCTTGCTGCTGTTAAGGTCACGATGCTTTGGTCTCTTGTGCACAACTTTGCAAGGCCAAAGTCTGAGATCTTTGGGTTGAAGTTGTAATCTAGCAGGATATTGTGAGGCTTAATGTCAAAGTGGAGGATGCGCTGGTTGCACCCTTGATGTAAGTACTCCATTCCTCTAGCGATGCCTAAAGCAATATCTAGCAGCTTGTCGGGTACCAAAAGATGCTGGAAATTTGCAGAGTCACGAGAGAAAATATATTTCTCTAGTGACTCATTAGGCATGAATTCATAAATAAGAGCCCGTCTCGTTCCTTCGGAACAAAATCCCAGGAGGCGGACTATATTGGCATGGTGGATTAGTCCAATGGTTGCAACTTCATTGATGAATGCTTCTCCCTCTCCTGTAGAGTTCTCTAGCATCTTGACTGCCACAGGAACTCCATTTGGTAGCTCGCCTTTGTACACACTTCCAAATCCTCCCTGCCCTACTTTTTCCTTAAACCGCCTTGCCATCTTCTTAACTTCAGAGAAAGTGTACCTTGTCGGTTTTGATGTTCCATATGTCTTGAGAAACATTTCAACCTTCATATGTATCTCCGCATTATATCTTGTCTTGAGTGAAAGATAAAGCACAGTGGCCACCGTTAACAAAAGAACAACAAATGCGGCCACCGATGATGTAGCTGAATAAACAAACAATATGACATCAGCGTATTGCATAAGGAATTAAAAGCCCTTACCTAGTTTTATGTGGATAATCGGATAAGAGGACGTCAAGGTTCAGAATAGCCAACAATAGGGATTTGCATAATAAAAATTTGGTAATTAACATGACTGCAGTGAGAGTAGTACCTGCGATGACTTTGACACGGGAACCTGCAAATACCAAGAACGAGAATTAGACTCTGTTAATGGTTTAGTAAGTAAAAATGAATAATAGTTTTTTCTTTTATAGAACTGTCAAATTGCTTTAAGTGTTGCCTACCATTGCTGCCATACATTCCTAGCGGGGATATAATAGAGCTTTTAATGTTTGAGAAACAAATAAGAATTAATATTAGGCCTTTTTGAAAGAGAAAAATCTTTGTCACAACTGACCAACCATATTTCATTTTTGTAGATCATATAGGAGAACCATGCGTCTTTATATCTAGAAGAGAATATCATGAACATACTGTGGTACTAGCCAAGCTTTACACTAAACTTAGACAAGGAGGTTACTCAAGATCCCATAACAGAAGAAAATGCCTATCAACTGTTCTATGTGTGCTTTGGTTGTTGGCTATCTTTTTTTGGTGTTGTGTTATGGGTATCGGTTGAAGATTATGCTTACGATGGTCTCTTGCTAGTTTTCCTTCCTTTGGGCTGGCTCTGTAATGCGCTTCCTGGAAAACTTGGCAAGGGTTGGGTCGCTCACCTGAATGGGAGGCTTAGATCACTGGGCTTTCTAGGCATTATCAGGTGGGTTAAATGTTGACCATGGGTTCTATTGCACCAAGGTTTATTATTTTTACAAAAAATCCTTTGTATACTCCTTTCTGTTTTCTCTTGTTATTTAGAAATATTATGCTTTGGGGTTCTGTTTTGTATTGAAGTGGTCTCTGCATCTCTACCAAAGAGAATTAGTGGTATATAGATTAACAGAATTTACAAGACCAGTGTTTAATGGATGAACAAAACATGTTTCTTTCCTCTTGACAATTTCTCAGATTTTTTATGAGTTCAGGTGCTTAGGTCAATGTGATTGCTCAAGAAGGCTACTAAAATAATTTGTGGTGTTATTTTGAAAGAAAAATAATTGACAGGAAGGCTCGTGGAGATTCGGACATCTGAAGTTATAAAGAAAAATTTGAATAGACTTCAAGACTTTATTACAAATAAAATAGGATGATGCAATTAAAAAAGGTTCTAGATAGTTAGAATTGATCATACCATAAGGCATACAGAATGCTAAATTCTGTTGTGAGCTGAACGCGCACCGTCGTCCACTGTGCTCACATTCTTCGCAAGTATAATAATTCCAACACACCGTGGTCTCAGCAGAACTGAGAAATGTTTCTGCAGCTTCCTTGAAGGACTGTGGGTCGCGTGTTGGGAAGCAACTCGAATACATTGGTATCAGCTTGCCATCGATACCATCTGAGACTGGGACGACCTTGCAGTCCAACGGAAGAATATACATGTCTTCATAACCATCCACCAAATAAAAGAAGTGTGTTGTGTTGCTAAGGCAGGAGATTGGGCCAGCAATCCTATTGGCAGCACCAGGTGCAAACTCTCTTAAACAGCGTACTAGGATAGAATTCCGAAAGGAAAGACCTGTCATCTCATGGTTGATAACATCAAGCTGTGGAGATGATGAGCTTCTGGAGATGTCAAACTTCTTCTGTAGCACCAAACAGGGGTCTACAAGCGGGATGAGCTTCATGGAAGAACGTCTGTAATCTATGGCGCTGACACTGTAGGGGCCAAGAACTGGGTGAAAAAGGATGGTGTCTTGACCAGAGCATGCTAGCTTCCTGATTGATCTGCCGGCACACCCACATGATGATGATGATGATTTATTGCTGGATTCAAGGCAGAGAGGGAACCTGATCTCTGGGCCATGTTGGCTGCACTGGGACGGTGGGCAGTATTTGATGAAATCTTTATCATCCCATGCCGTGGCCAAGTAGATTCCGTGGTTGATCAGAGGCAGCAGCAGGAGGGCTATGACAAGTAATTTACTCATCTTTCTGTACTGTTGTACCAAGATGGTGAGCAAAGAAGAAGTGGAGTGGCAAGTGCCAAAAAAAAGAACACAATACTTGTCCCCTTTCGTCTATAGCTACGCAGTCATAGTCACGCTCTACTGATATTTAAGCATGAGGACGAAGAGAGCGTTTCAATTGATAGTCCATGCCATGCTCTTGTGGTTTTAGTGGGATTGCAGACTTGGTTCAGTCCACTGTCCAGTCTATTGGCAGCTGTCACGGTGTGGAAAATCTAGTCCATAGTGTGGAAAATCTTTGGGAAAAACGATGGGACAGAAGACCCCAAGCCTTGGGTCGTCTTCTGGTCCTAGCTGTGGAAAATCTCTGGAAAATCCAGTCCACAGTGTGGAAAATCTCTGGAAAATATCGAGAGAAATATCTTCCTCTTTTGCACGTCGTGTATATACCAGTGAAATCATAATCAATATCCCAACCACACTATTAATTGGTATATACAGCTGGATATGATCGACTAGTCGATGTTGATCCCTTGCCCCCCTCAGTACTCTTAACAGAACTAACTAGGATATCAAGTCCCTGGTTCATTTGTGAGAAGGCTTTCATGGGGAACCATGGTGCATTTCATCGTTCTATTACCCTACAAGCCTTAACTGTCTTCTCCCTTGTTGCAGTTCTTGCAGCAGATCATGTCCAGGGAGGAGACGATGGGTGCCCACCTTTCACCTGTGGGCATCTCCAAGACATACGACCTCCTTTCCGTCGGCGCGGTGATCCTCTTGAGTGTGGTGTTGAAGCATACGAGCTGGGTTGCACCAGTAGCAAGGCTACAATTCACATCAACACAGGAACATACTATGTGACTGCCGTCAACTACACCGGTTCCTACTTCTGGGTCAGCGACACCAACTTCGATACCAGTAGCAGCTGCCCTCTTCCACTGTGGAATCACGTTCCTTACTATGGATATTACGGCGACACTGATTCAGTTTCACCACCTGGCTTTCGGTATTTGGTCACTCAAAGCTCCTACACAGCATGTTTTGCTAATTGTTCGCAAGCAGTAACGAATAATAGCGTATACAAGCCCGTTGTTTGCCTGAGTGCCAACGATTCACATGTTTATGTCTGGGTGTCTGAATACATGTCTTGTTTGGCTGAAGATCTTGAACCTTATTGTGGATACCTGGCAGAGATTCCATTTGGTAACGAGTATTCTTCTGATTGGCGACAGCCACAGAATGCAAGTTATGCTGATATCACACAATTCATAAGTAAGGGGTTTACTGTCCGATTTCCTGTGGAACCCAGGTGGCTTTCTGCCTCTGTGAAGTTACGAGAGAATATCAATATATGCCTCAACAAATCAATCAGGTGATCACCCTGTGGTTCAATTTCCTCCAGAATTTACTTTCTCTGCTCCCTACTTCTCTCAAGAATTAATGTGGGGCTGTTAAGCCCATCTTTAGTAGAGCACATACACACTCATCATTAATTGATCTTTTACTTACACAATTAATGCTAATTGGTAGTAGAGGTTGATTACATTGATCATGCATGTTTTCTTAATCAACTGTACTACATCCATTTTGGTCATGTCAGATTATGTTGAATTGAAAAACAGTAGTCCGTGCAATGCATAGTCGAATTACATGGTTGCATGGTTCAAAGAGAGTCAAACCAGGTTATGTGCAAATGGGAACGAACTAGTATGCATTTCCTTCGAATTTACTGTCTAAGAACCTTGCTCCCTTCTAATGCATTTCCTTACAATGGTATGATTTGCAGCTACTTCGAGCAGCAAATATCTGGTGCAAGCATTATCAGTTGGACTCATGCTTTTTTCTGGAGCGAGGTGCATTTCTTTGAATGCGTGACCGACATCCCTGTTGATCACCACTACACAATAAAGGTGGTTTTGATTGTTGCAGCCAAAGTATTTGCTATTGCCATCCCCAAGTTCTTTTTTGGTACGTGAGAATTAATATACACATTTACTTTCGAAAAATAATTTACATGTTTTTAACTTACGTCCATTTCTTTCGACTTGTTGTGCAGTACTGTGCAGGCTCTTGTTGGCACCGGTAGCTGTATGGATATTCCTAGCCTACAAGTACTGGAAAACAAGGATCATAATTGATGCAGTTGAGAAGTTCCTCAGGATTCAACAAATGATTGGCCCGACGAGGTACTCCTACACAGATATAGTTGCAGTCACAAGCCATTTCAGAGATAAATTGGGCCAAGGGGGCTACGGCTCTGTGTACAAGGGTGTGCTTCTTCCAGGCGGTGTCCATGTCGCCGTGAAGATGCTAGAGGGCAACTCAAACTGCAATGGAGAAGATTTCATCAGCGAGGTCTCCACCATCGGCAGGATCCACCATGTCAACGTTGTGCGTTTGGTGGGGTTCTGCTCGGAGGAAATGCGAAGGGCCTTAGTCTACGAGTACATGCCCAATGGTTCTCTGGACAAGTACATCTTCTCTACCGAGAAGAGCTTCTCATGGGACAAGCTCAATGAGATCGCTTTGGGCATTGCCAGGGGGATCAACTACTTACATCAAGGGTGTGACATGCAGATTCTACACTTTGACATCAAGCCGCACAACATCCTTCTTGACAGCAATTTCATCCCGAAGGTCGCCGATTTCGGACTCGCCAAACTGTACCCGAGGGGTGACACTTTCGTGCCTTTGAGCGCCATGCGGGGAACCGTCGGCTACATAGCCCCCGAGATGATATCCCGGGGCTTCGGTGTTATATCCAGCAAGTCCGACGTGTACAGCTTCGGGATGTTGCTGCTGGAGATGGCCGGCGGGAGAAGGAACGCTGATCCAAACATGGGTTCCTCAAGCCAGGCGTACTACCCGTCCTGGGTGTACGACCGGCTGACTCGGGAAGAAGCAGGCGAGATATCTGCTGTTGCTAATGACATGCATGAGCTGGAGAAGAAGCTATGTGTTGTCGGATTGTGGTGTATTCAAATGAGATCTCGTGATCGGCCGACGATGAGCGAGGTCATTGAGATCCTGGAGGCTGGGGCTGATGGCCTGCAGATGCCTTCGAGGCCGTTTTTCTGCGACGAAGGGCACATCCATGTGGAGGACTCTTATCAGTTCACTTCCGAGCTGTCGGCGGTCTCGGAGGAGGAATTGAGTGTGGTGTCAGAGGAAGACGACGTGTGAGGTATATATACAATATGTGCGTGTATATGTATGTATCATGGAGTGATGCGCTTATTTGTAAAAGTTATGGTTGTAACAGTACCAACCCAGTATAAATGCTTTGTACAAACTGCCTTGCTTGCTGTGCAGAGCAACTTCATCAAATAAGGTTGACATCTTACATCCATATATTTGTTTGTTCGTTACTCTCGATATAAATTCTGATGGAAAATATTGCTTGAACAACAAATTCTTGATACCAGTTCTTGATACAAATAAGTTTGTGAGAGGTGACAAAAGACCGCCTTTTTCTTGTTGAGAAACATTTTCAGAGAAAATTTGTATTTCATTCTGCAGGCAGTAACATGCAGTTTATGGATGGAAGATTGTCACTGAGAAGCTAGCTTGCATACATTTTGTATTTTGCATATGATACATCCATAAAACCATTGGTCTCCAGTTTCATCACGAATTTACTGAAGTGCAGTTTTAGTGTACAGCAACATCATTCCAGGTTATGTTTCCAGTTGCATAATTGGCATTGTTGCAGAGTCCCTCACATTCTCCCCTTCAGGATTGTGCACCCGCAAGGCGCGAAGACATAGATAAATAGTTCTTTTTTCCTCTTTGCTGCTAAGAAATCACCGCGGTCATTGAACTACATAATTGCATTTGATAACCAGAGCCACCGGCCACAGCTGATCTTCCTTACATGTCGCCTTCGATCGTAGGCAGGAAAAAGAAAATTCCAAATCTAATTTAATGGAACCCCCTGCCGTGCTGTAGTGGCTGCATAGACTTGGTGCAACCCAGTCCTGCCGAATGCCACTTGTGCGCGTGTGATGAGGAGCGCCGCGTGGAAATTCCAGTAACACTGATGTTGGCCAAGTCTGAAGAATGTGTGGACACTATCAGTTACCCAGTAGACGGGGCGGAAGAGTCTTTTGTTCCAATTCCAGAAATGCTGATGTGGTCCTGAAGTTGCCATTGTTGTTGTCCACTGCTTTGCTTTGTACTACTCCCTCCGTCCGGAATTACTTGTCGCATAAATGGATAAAAATGGATGTATCTAGAATTAAAATACATCTAGATACATTCATTTCTCCGACAAGTATTTCCGGACGGAGGGAGTATATGGCAGCCCCTGTCACATACTGCCTTCATGGATCTGCACTTGTCATAGAGGAACACAAATCGAGTAATTTCAGTTAAATTTTAAATTACACAATTGCTTATTTACTTATTACTATTACAGATGCAAGTTCCGACTGACAAGACAAAAAAAAAGATGTTCGAACCACTTGAGGCAGGATTTCCCCTGTGATGGGAAAGGTGAGAGAGAGAGAGAGAGAAAATATTCCTTTCTGGAAAAACAAATCTTTGTTTGGACAACTTTGTTTCTTTTCTTAGAAAAACAGAGGACATTCCATCAAAATCACTGAAAGCTAACTTACATTCCGATTCCAGTGCGACAAATAAGACCAAAAAAATAATATGAACACAGTTTTAGTTTACAGCAACATAATTCCAGATCGGGTTTCAAGCAGCATATGGCCATGCTCTCATGAACAAAGTTCCATCATGCATGCATGCCGACAGAATATTGCAGAGCAATGGTTACATCTTATACAGATTACAAGTGATAACGGCAATACACAGACTGAAAAGTTTGAAAGATGGATCAATGAAGAATCCGTCACATCAGCTGCAGGCATCGAAGTTCGATCACAGCATGGCAACAACGGCAGCTACCAACTACCTGGCTCTCAACCTTTCCTTCTATTTCTTGTTCTCCAATTCAGCACCAGTGTGCTTGTAATCGAGTGATTCAGAAACGAATACTCTAGTTCTCTGAATTCCACCCAGTGAACTATTGCCGTGCTAACACTTGGTATTCAGAGCCAGAAATTCCCCCCACCACCAACACCGCTATGGCGACATCTACCATCGAGACGCGGCCACAGTGAGCTGTGAGCAGATTGACTACAATGGGATGCGATGGAGCCTCACCAAAGCTGGTCTCAAGTAGCTACTCAAGGGACTCTAGGAGGACATCAAGGTCTCGGTGGCGGCGGAATTCAGCTCCTGGAAGCCAGCAAATCGGCAGCAGATCGCCAATCTGTAAGTTGCAGTGGATTTGCTACAGTTTTGGCTTACAACAACATCAATCCAGGTCGAGTTTCCAGCATCATATGGCCATGCATGCTCTCATGAACAAAGTTCAGTATGCCACAGAAACTAGCTAGGCAGCAGAAACTAAACAAATATTTGCATTGTTGCAGAGCCTCTCATCTCAGCAGAAACTAAACAAATATTCTCCCCTTTCAGAACTGCGCACCACCAAGTACCCCGAAGATACATATAGTTTTTCTTCTTCTTTGCAGCTAAGAAATCATGGTGGTCATGGAACTACATAATTTGCCTTCAAGAACCAGAGCCAAGGCTGATCTTCTTGCATGTAGTCTTCGATCTTATGCAGGGTGGCTGCATAGGCTTGGTGCAACCCCGTCATGTAAATGCCACCTGTGCGCAGTGCAACGAGGGGTTCCGCTTGGAAATTTCAGTAATGCTGACAGTTGAAAGCATTGTCAGTTACACAGTAGATGGGACACTGCTGATGTTCTCGAACAACAGCAGTGCTGATATATGGTCCTGAGACTGAAGCTACTATTGTTGTTATCCACTGCTTTGTCACAAACTGCCTTTCTGGCCGGGGATCCTATATCCACCATTCTCATCCGTCCCAGCCGCCTCCACGGTTCTTCGCCCACGACTTCCGCCGCCCGTCCGCTTCCAACGTTAGCAAGCATGTGCCGGTTTCCCCAGCCCAGCAAGAGCAGCCGGCAGGGAGGTGACCCCCGGCCGTCGCCCTCCACATCGGTGACTGAATCAGCGGTCAGGTAGCAGCAGTCCGCAACCGCAGCAAGGAGCAGCAGCCGCGATTCGATTCCTCTCTCTCACACACACATTTCAAGAACAAGAGGTACATCACTCCTCAGATTTTCGATCCCTCCCACAGTTTCGGACCTACTCCTTATTAGTTTGTTATTATACTGATGATGAAATAAGTGAAGCTCGAATTGATGTGGATGTTTGATGCATCGATGCCATTTTATCGAGTTGCAGACGACACAAGTGAAGTAAGTGAACCTGGATCACATTCACCTTGTGCTGGACAGGAAAAGCTCCGTCAGATATCACTTAAAGTCATAGATTCAAATAGCCCACGAAATAGCCGCTATAACTGCGCTATAGCTAGCCGGGAGCCTCGCCGCTACGCTATGGCTGCTGCCGCAAAATCCCCCACAAATCCCTCTAAATGGCTCAACAATGAGCAAACCCTTTAGAAATCATCTCTTCCACCAGAAAAATTTCCGCTATTTGCTCCGATTGCCCGCTATGGCGGCCGCTATAGCTGCTGGGAGAGGCCGCCGTGAAATCGTTTCTCCCGCGATTTTAATCTATGTTAAAGTGCAAAGAGGAGATCCACTAATTGTCAGATGTGGACGGACTGCAATGCAGAGAAGTATGCGAGTGGAGATCGAATAAGGTAATCTGCCTATCTTGCAAATAAGTGAAGCTCCAATTGATGTGGATGTTTGATGTCATTTTATCGAATTGCAGATGAGATAAGTGAAACGAGTGAATGTGGATCACATTCACTTTGTGCTCCAAAGGACATCATAAGAGGAGATCTACTAACTGTCATATGCAGAGAAATATGGGAGTGGAGGCAGAATAAGGTAATCAACAGAGTATTTGCTACTTTTGAAGATAAATATGGGCGTAGCTGTTAAAATACAAGTCCAACTGTGAATCTGCATGTCTTGCAAACAACTAGTAGAGTACTATTACAATGGTAGTGACCAGTGATTATTCATACATCTCCAGACCTATTATATGGACTGAAAGTATAGAAATACAGTGTTGACAGAGCATGGTAGTCCCTGAATGTTGACAGAGTATGGTAGTCCCTGTTTTGATTTATGGCATAGGTTCATTTTCATATGAGACAAAAGGCTTCGGGGGCATCTGCAAACTCTGCAGCCTCCCCGTTAACATGTTCACGACCTTTGTCATCGACGGCCGGTTTCTCGGGTTCCACTGGATGCACCACAGTGCCGCCATAGCCAGCTGCCTCACCTTGTCTTTCTCTTCTTGAGTCGTTTCCAAAGTAAGCGCCAACTCCTCCCCATTGATCACTTTCTCGTAGATCCACTCAGGGAGGTAAACATCGTCCTGGCTCCCGATTCTTGGGTCTAAATTCCTCCTCCCGCTCACCATTTCTAGCACCAGCATGCCGAAACTGTACACGTCTGACTTGTACGATACTCCCCCAAAGTTCCGAGAGTATAGCTCTGGTGCAATATAGCCCATTGTGCCTCTTGCTGCTGTTAAGGTGATGATGCTTTGGTCCCTTGCACACAACTTGGCCAGGCCAAAGTCTGAGATCTTTGGATTGAAGTTGTAATCCAGCAAGATATTGTGAGGCTTGATGTCAAAGTGGAGGATGCGCTGGTTGCACCCTTGATGTAAGTACTCCATACCTCGGGCGATGCCTAAAGCAATATCTAGGAGCTTCTCTGGTACTAGAAGATTCTGAAAAATATTAGAGTCATCAGAGAATATGTATTTCTCTAGTGACTCATTAGGCATGAATTCATAAATAAGAGCCCGTCTCATCCCTTCGGAACAAAACCCCAGGAGGCGGACGATATTGGCATGGTGGATTAATCCGATGGTTGCAACTTCATTGATGAATGATTCTCCCTCTCCTGTAGAGTTCTCTAGCATCTTGACTGCCACAGGCACTCCATTTGGTAGCTCGCCTTTGTACACACTTCCAAATCCTCCCTGCCCTACTTTTTCCTTAAACCGTCGTGCCATCTTCTTAACTTCAGAGAAAGTGTACCTTGTCGGTTTTGATGTTCCATATGTCTTGAGAAACATTTCAACCTTCATATGTATCTCCGCATTATATCTTGTCTTGAGTGAAAGATAAAGCACAGTGGCCACCGTCAACAAAAGAACAACAAATGCAGCCACCGATGATGTAGCTGAATAAGCAAACAATACGTCATCAGCACATTGCACCAGGACTTAAATGCCGTTATTTAGTACTATTTGTTATGATAAGAGGATGTCAAGAGTCAGAGTAATAAGAATTTGTACAACAGAAAGCTTTTATTTTCTCCGTTATATTTTGAAGCTAAAAAGACTTGGTTGGAGCAGTACCTGCAATGACTTTGATACGTGAACCTGCAAATACCAAGAAAGAGAATGAGAT